GGCAGAAGAAGCCGGGCCTTCAGAAGAAGGTTCCACATGGCTCCAGCGAACTAGATTTTTCGCGCTGCGTGGTTTTCTATTTTGTGATTCTTTTTTAAAAAAACACAGTAATTACAACTTTTAAAATTTTTTTGTCTTTTTCCCCCCTCTTTTTGTTGTTGTTTCTCTTTCTCTTTTTCATTTTCCTTTTTCTTGTCTCTCCACTCTCCAATATCCTTTCAATGTGTTTTTAGATGGATCTAAGAGCACTGTAGCTAGACATCCAAATACTAATAGGGTTAAAATATTCCCCACTATGATTTTTTTTTCTTTTTTTGTTGTTTTTCTCTGTCTCGTTTTCTTTTTTCTTGTCTCTTCACTCTCCAATATCCTTTCAGTGTGTTTTTAGACAGATCTAAGATCACTGTAGCTAAACATTCAAATACTAATAGGGTTGAAATATTCCCCACTATCTTCTGAATCTGCTGCACCAGCAAGCACAATAGAACAGCAAAGAGATTCTGGATCACCTCTGTCTGCTTGCTCCTTAACATTAAGGCTGAACCTCCAGAATTTGAAAGAAAACACAACATTCATCAGATGACAAGAAATCACCGCCGGATCACGAGAAACATGGGAAAACAAGAAAATACCTCTCCTCCTAGGGAAAAGAGTAACTCTTCATCCACAAGCAGTTCGGTGAAAATCATGGAAATGTCTGATAAGGAATTCAGATCATTCATAATGTCTAAGCTAACAGAGATGGAAGAGAAGAGAGATAATGAACTACTAAAGAGAAAGGAGAAAGAGATTGACGAGTTCCAAGAGATGAGGAAATTCCTGCAAGATCTAAAAGTGGAATTACACACTTTACAAAAGACTCAAACCGAACTGCTAGAGATGAAGTCTATAATACAAGAAGTCAAAATCTCCCTGGAAAGCATTAAAAGCAGACTAGATCATTCAGAAAATAGAATCTCAGATGTAGAGGAGAAAATGGCTGGCCTAGAAAAATCCACCATGAAGGCTGAGAAAATGGCACAAAAATTTGAGAATAATATGCGAGAAGTACTGGATACCATCAAACGTCCAAATATCCGGATAATTGGCATTCCAGAAGGTGAGGAAACCCATAAGGGCATTGATAATCTATTCCAGGAAATCCTGCAAGAAAACTTTCCAAACCTAGAGAGGCATTCAAAGATCCAGTCCCAGGAAATACAACGGACCCCAAATAGAATCAACCCTAGAAGATCTTCTCCAAGACACATTATAGCCAGGTTGACCAAAACTGCAGACAAAGACAAGATACTAAGATTAGCAAGAGAAAAACATCAAGTTACCTACAAAGGACATCCCATCAGGCTAACAGCAGATCTCTCATCAGAAACAATAAAAGCGAGGAGAGAATGGGAAAATATATTCCAAGTGTTAAGAGAGAAGCAGTTTCAGCCAAGAATACTGTATCCGGCAAGATTATCTTTCAGGTGGGAAGAAAAGACAAGAACATTCTCAGATAAACAAAACCTGAAAGAATTTACCAGCACCAGACCAGACCTCCAAGAAGTTCTCAAGGATGTGCTGTATCAGGAAAACTAAACGCAGATACATGGAAATAAGAGTCCAAAAACTGAGAAAGTAGCTAACTTAATCATAGGGACAAGTCTGGAGTTGAATACTATATCCCAGAATTTAATCAGGAAAATTGAACCAGAACAGAAGATAAAAGTACATGAGACTGATAGGTTCATGCACCTACCATTTGAACAGAATCCTAACCTGTTTCCTGGCTTTAAGCAAAGTTCCTTGGCGTTTCTTTGATTTAAGTTAAAACTGGTTTTCTTAGTAGTAACGAGGGAACTCACCTTTGAAAGTAGTCAGGTTATGTAGGAAATCGTGTGATCAATGCAATGTGGGTGGGAAGGGAATGAAGGACAATTGTGGACACTAGAGGTGGTGTGAGAGGAGGGTGGGAAGGGACAGAGGGTCAGAAAGAGGAGTGGAAATAATTCTAGGAACTAGAAATGGAAAATTTTTTGTAATGTGCATGATTGAGTCACTATGTAGTGTGTACTGGAGGGGGATCCATTTTGTGTGCTGTGATGATGCTTAGGGAAGGAATGTAAATTGAGTTACAAAAAAAAATATATCAGGAAAAAGAATATATTCAATAACTGCAGTAGGATATGTAGCCCCAGCTAGGTGCTACTTTATAGGATGTGTAAAGTTAGACTTGTGTTCATGGAAATGTGTGTGTCACCTGTTTTGCTATGAGGGTATTCGGATTGATTAAGGTCTTTGGTGATTCAATAAAATGTGGGGGGAAAACAGTATAGGAAGCAAACATAGATACCAGAGACAGTGAGGGAGGAGAGTGGGAGATGGCAGAGGGTAAGAGACAGGGAATCAAGGATGGGGGAAAAAAAAGCAAAACATAGAGAAAACAAGAAATGGAAGATCATTGGCTGACAATAACATGTTTGTTGATGTGCTTGATTGAGACAATATACAGTGTACTCTGGATGGAAAATCTCATTTTGTATGCTGTAATGATGTACAGTGAATGAATGCAAATAAATAAATTGAAAAAAAATGACAATACAGTTGCAAGTAGAATTGATTTGCATTGAAAGAAAGGGGAGATTCCATGGGGACTCTATGAACTAGATATCTTTTCTTCTATCAGACATCCTTATTTTATTATATATGACACCAACGCCAATCCAATTCTAAACTTATCAATAATTGTGTACTTTAAGAATTTCAGAAGTCAGGCCTGCTGGTGGTATGGTGGTTTAAGTGGCTGGATCCTACATGGCCAACTGTGCAGGTCAAGTTCCAGACACGGTGGCTTGAAAAAGAATTTCAGAAGTCTTAATGTGCAATTAAAAATCATGTATACTCTCTATTGGCAATTATCTGCAATATGAAAGATTTAGCCATATGCACACAAAAATGCAGTTCACAGGAAAAAAAAACCATGAATGGTTAATAGAAATATGTTAAGGTACTATGGGACCAGCAGTTAGCGTAATGGCTATGTTGCTGGACTCCCACGTAGTCGACCGTGGTTTGGGTCCCGGACCCGGTGGCTTAAAAAACTCACACCGGGCACGTGTGCGTGCGTGTCCAAGATCCTGAGAGGAGAATGGAGGAGACGGGATTGCCTTCTCCTACCCTGGGGGGTGATTTCTCGCTTTCTGTCTCTCTGTCTGTCTGGCGAGCGCACGCGCCCCTATAGCAAAAACCTCTCAAAAAAAAAAAAAAAGAAAGAAAGAAAGAAAGACAGAAAGAAATATGTTAAGGTGCTAGATATCATTTACGGTTAAAGAAATGAAATGCATGGTAAAGTAGCAATGCTATACTGTACTTTACTCCCAGACTTTCTCAGACACGAACTGTTGATAAGGATACATAAGATTTTGGATGGTATTTTCATAGCATTTATCTAAATTTTACATACTTTGACCCTTTGGCCCAGCAATTCCATTTCTAGAAATTTATCCTAGGGACAAATGACATTACCAGGCAAGAACATATATCAGAGGGTTATTTATTGTAGCATTGTTTGTAACAGTGAAAATAAAAAAATCATTTCCAATTGTGTTTCAATAGCTAAACAGTTAAATATATTGCAGCACATCCATACTTAAAAATATATTTATGACATAGACAGATGGCTAAATAGAGAAAGCTAGTTATATAATTGTGTGTGTGTGCTGTGTGTGTTGTGTGTGTGTGTGGCATAAGCTCATTTGTGGGGAAAAATTGTACCTGAAATGGTAGTGACTTCTGGGGAGTTGGATTTAAATGAGGAAAAAAGAACAGGATAATTTCTTTTTATTTCTCAGCTATTTCTATTTATACAAGCATATGTAGTACTATTTGATAATAAAGTACATTTTTTAATTCAGTCACAATTTTGTATTACTACCCAATCTATCAACTAATAGAAAAATACAATTAACTCTGCTATAAAATTAATTGGTAATTAAAGTTTATATGCCACTGTAATAGAGGATGGTATTTTAAGATGATAATATATTGAAGTGTAAGAGTAACACAAATAAAAGTGTATAAAGGTGGAAGTTAAAGGTTAGTTATATTTTAGTCTACATAAATACTATGAGTACTAATACAAATGAACTATTAAATTCTATTTAACATTATGAGATCAGGTTTATTAAATGAATTTATATTTTTTATTCATGATAGAGGGTGTATGCATGCATATGAGAGTGAGAGAGAGAGAGACAGAGAGAGATGACAGCTCTCCACAGGGTCTGGTCATACCACAATTCTTTTCCTCATGTCCTCTGCCTGTGGGACCTTGGGTACTTGTGAATGTGCCCAGCATGTTTCAGGCTGGCAAGGCCAGGGATGCAAGTTGTAGCCACCAAGTGGGATCCAGTAGCTTTGAGCAGTGCATCACCACTGTGCCACAGAACCAGAAATGTGTCCTGACTTTCCTGACAACCTAATAGCTAAGTCCATCATTTTCTTCTATAGCTTACATTGCTATCTTCGATAGGAAAATGGGAGCTATTGTTCAGGATCAAGAATATGAAGTTTTCCTCACTTTCTACTCATGTCCTTATAGGAAGCCAGGTTATCTGGAGTAATGGACATGGGCCCAAGTACTCTGTATGCTACACCTACAGAAGAAAGCATCATGTGTTATAGTGAGGGCAGTTGTACTTCATAGAGGGTACAAATTGCTAGATTTTGCCCATGATTAGAAGGCTGG